GGGTCACGCCCCCAAGCCCGCCCCCCGACCCCAACCTCGCTAGGAAAGGCTGGAAGGCTCTGCGGCCGACGGCTGGGCGACTTGACTCCACTTCCGGGGCGGGTTCCGCTGGGGAAGCTCGTAAGTCTGAGGAGAGCTGGGCGGTGGGAATTCGATTCTGAGCAGGTCAAACCCGAGTCAGTCAGAGTAGGACTCCAGTTGGAACTTGCGGGGTCACAGCCTACTAGTGAGAAAAGCATATTTCTAGAGTGCTTCCGCGCCGCCACCAGCCGTGGGCTGGGACTACAAGTCCCGGCCGGCAGGACTCCAGGAGCGGGGGCGGGAGAGGGCGGTGGTGGGAAGAGAAGCATGCTGGGAGCTGTAGTGTCATCCCCACATTCACAGCAGGTATGTCTTCATGTTACTAATGGTTCGGTGACTGTTGACGGCAATTAGACCTTGGCACTTGGAAATGGCTACGGCCAAGAGAAACGAAATGCTTCTTGAGTGAAAGGAGAACACTTTGGCTTTTTTCAAATCCGTCTAAACCCTTGGCGAGTGAGCGCCTGAGATTCGAAGTGCGTCCTAATAATACATACCACGCATATGGTGTGAGCTTAGTGTTTGCTGAATTGTTGCCTTTAGCTTGCAGTACTTTAGAACTGAATTTTCTCCGTAGAATGGACTTCATGAGTCTTTATTTATCTTTGTAAGTCTTCTAGTAATCAGAATATCCTAGTCTAATTCACCATTTTGCAAAGAAAGTGGTTTGCCCAAGGTCCCCCAGCATATTCTTAGCAGAGCCAAAACTATTGATAGAACTCATATCCTTTTGCTTTCACTACAACACCTAAATGCCTTTCACTAAGGAACTTAATCTTGTGATAATGTGACAGTAGTGAAAGATTTGATTTGTGGACTTGTTTTGGTCACTTATGTCCACAAACAATATTTTTTACAGACCAGGTTGGTCAGGGAATTTGGTTAAAACAGGAAATACCCGTGGTAGGCCCCTTTTCCCAAATGAATGTTTAGAAGTAGACTGGGACTGGACTCTGGCGATCGTTGAATGCCAGGCTAAGGATTTGAACTTAATACTGTCGGCAGTGGGAGCCATCAAATGTTTCTGACTCTAGAAGTAAAATTAGAAAAATCTTGGATAGGTTGTGAATTATTAAGGGGAAAGAATGTAATGAGAGATACTGGAAGCCAATACATGAAGCAACAAAAATTGAAACTAAGGTCAGAACACTGTAATTACAAAGACACACACAGATGGAGGTGATAGAGACTGAAAGATCTCACAGAACTAGGTGCCTAACTGACTTATTGGGCAAGAAAGAAGGTAGAATTAAAAATTACTGAAATTACCAGGTTAGCATAGATTAGAACACAAGACTGTGCATGGTATGGGCAAATGGGGACATTCATACACAGATGGCAAGAGAAATTGGCACAATGTCTTTGGAGGCAATTTGGCTATAAATGTATCAAAATGGAAAAGTCATGCGTGCTTTCATTGAAAAATTTATATAGGATTTACGGCTGTGTTCAAACATAAACATAAATGCTCATTGCAGCCTTATTTGTAATGGCAAGAATGGAAATAACACCTGCCTATCAAAAGAGCACTGGTTAAAAAACAAAATCACATGCATATAATTAAGTTCTGTGAAGCTATTTTTAAAAATGAAATATATATATATATTTGTTGATGTGGAATAGGCCCCAAGGTCTACTTATTAAATGAAAAAAGCTAGGCATACATTGTGTTTATGGTATTCTTTATTTTTTCATTTATGTAAAATGGAATATGGATAAAACGTGGATTAAAAAAATGCCTGATCATACATAGAATTTTTGTGAAGGATACTTCAAAAACTGTTAGCTGTAGTTGCCTGTAAGAGGGCCTTGAGAATCTTTAGTAGAAAGGAGACAACTTTTACCATGTATGTGCATTACTGTTCCAACAAAATTAAATCAATTAAAAATTTTTAGACTTTGAATCCAAGTCATAAGAAAATGGCAATATCTTTCATAGAAACATGCAAATAAAGGGAAAAGGAAGCAGATCTTGTTTGGGAGAGTTTCCTTAAATGGCACAGGCTAAGTTTCAGAATTCCCACCTACTTACGCCACAATTCTCAAGGGACTTGATGGTCCTGTCCATCCTTGGCCACAGCCGAGGGTATGGGCACTTGACCCAAGTTAACCAGTCTATGTAAACTGGCCAGCAACCTATGGCCAAGTGTAGCAACATGATCTGGACCAATCAGTTCTCACTGTTAGGATTCTGAACTAAGAAACCTAGAGAGAAGAAGTCATTAAGCAGCAAGGGCAGAAGCTGAATGCCATGGGGTAGAGTTAGGGATTTGGCAGGCTGAAGCCCTGTGAGAGTAGAAAGTATAAAGAATCTGGTTAGTCAAGAAAGGAGTGTTAAGCAGGCATGCAGAGATATGTAGAGATGTCATGATATAACTCATGTGGCCATGGGAGAGATGGGGAGAATCCCTGGAACAACTCGACTTCCTCATAACTTTTCAGGACAGGTTTGGTTGACATTTATTCTATAAATAAATCCTGCTTTTCCTGAAACAGAGTAGGGCAATTATAAAGAGCATGGACTCTGAAGTGTGAGAGAACCCACTCCATTTCTTAACTTTGGGCAAGTCACTTAACCTCTCCAAGCCTCAGTTTTGTCCGTCTACTATGAAAACCGTCTGGTGCTGTCTTAACAAGATGTGTTTCAGAATTAGTGTACTACACATCACACTTGCTCATAGAAAACACAAAATAAGAACTGGTCCAACAAAGAATGAAAGATTTCCGGACCTTTTACTTTTTTACCTCTTGAGGGATGAGAAGAAACCCAAATACCGTTTTCAAAAATCTCTCTTCTTATACTTTTGTGAAGGTTTGAGTGGGAGTTTAAAACTAATAATCAAAAAGAGGTTTCAGGATTATCTGTTTCATATTCACAGTATTCTTCCCCCCTCTAGCTCAGGTAAAAGTAATCCTTTATATCCGTATAGAAAATTTAACTTTTGGAGTATTTTCACATCTGTTCTCTCATAAAAGCTACCTTTGTCACAGCTTTCATGGCATTATATTAACTCTTAAAAGAACTCTTGGCGAGTTCTTTTTTTTTTCTTCTTGTAACCCTGGGAAATAATTTGGCATCATTGTCCTCATTAATAGATGAAAACTAAATAAAACATGGGAGTGAACATGTCTAGTTCACTTGTGAAAAACAAATGCCAGACGCATGGCCAGAACCCACAGGTCCTGAGTTTCCAGCTTGTTGCATAAACCACTGAGTCACAATGCTTTTATACCTGGTGTAATTTAAGTGAAACTACAGATGAGGCTTCAAACCATTCTGAGTCTCCCAAAGCAGCACTTCTACTATTGTCATCTCATTTTACATCCCTCAGTGCTCTCTCTACTCCCAAACTAAAGGACTCATAGCTGGGAAGTTACGGGAGAGTGAATAAGAAAGAAGGGAGGGAAATTCTTCTCTAGTGTATTCCTGGCATCCCTTACTCCTTCATTCCTAGACCTACTCACAGCAAAAGAGCTGTTGACCATTTTTTAACCTGTGAGTTTGTTGTTGAGATATGTAATCTAATAGAATACTGAGGGAATAAAGGAGCATAACTTTTTAGTCTGGGTAGCATAAGATTTTTAGAAGGAAAGCATATAAAAATGGAGAGAAGTTTGGAAAGGATGAAATTTCTTTAATAATATATGTTTCTAAAGCTAATTTTTCAGAGCTTTTTTTTTTTCACATAATACTCTGTTCATTCTCATAACTCTACCGTGAAGTAGGTAAGCCAGGTATTATCATCTCCATCTTTATATATGCATTAGAATACTAGTAGGGATAATAATACCCAAGCTTAGAGAAATGAAATTATTTGCCAAAGGTCATTTAGGTGGCAGAACTGGAACCAAAACCCAGGAGGCTCTCCACTCAATGAAAGATTCAGAGTGTTACACAACAAAGGCTAAATACTGCAGTAGTCTAATAAATACTAACTGCAGGAAAATGTAGTAATTAAATCCACTCTCTTCTCTAAATTTTGTATCTCATATTTCTTAGCTGTTTCATTTAACATTCAAAGAGAAGTTAATATTTTATAAATAACTTCAAAGTCAAGTACTACCTGAGCATCTAATTAGTGCCCCTTCAACATGATGACATTTAGTTTCTGTGTTCAGGAATAGATCATAAACAAGGGCTGTGAAATATGATTGCAACATATAATTCATCCGTATTGACTGGGCTCAGGCCCAACTATCAGCAAAAAGCCCCAGAACAAAATAAGCAGAAAATCCTTTTCATTCAGTAACTGCTAATATTTTAGATTAAAAATAAATTGTGTATGAAGATAAATACTTTATGATCTCACTTCCATGTGGAACCTTAAAAAGAAATAGGGTGGGGGGAGGTGGAGTTGGAAAGAGGTCAACAGAAGGTAAAAACTTCCAATTATAAGACAAATAAGTACTAGGATGTAATGCATAACATGAGGACGATAGTTAATACTGCTGTATGACATACAGGAAAGTTGCTAAGAGTAAATCCTAAGATTTACTCTCACCACAAGGAGAAAACTTTTGTTTTTCTTTTTTTTCTTTTTATTGTATCTATTTGAGATGTTGGATGTTAGCTGAACCTATTGTGGTAATCATTTAACAGTATACTCGTATATAAATCAAACCAGCATGCTGTATGCCTTAAACTTATACAGTGATGTCAATTATTTTTCAGTACAACTAGGGAAAAAATAAATTGTGATTCCACTTATACGAGGCATCTACAGTAGTCAAATTTATAAAAACAAAAAGTAGAATGGTGCTTACCAGGGGTTGGGGGTAGGGAGAAAGGGCAATTGTTTAATAGGTATAGAGTTTCAGATTGCAAGATGGAAAAAAGTTCTGGAGATCTGTTTCACAACAATGTGAATACACTTAAAAGTGGTTAAGAAGGTACATTTAATATGTGATCTTTACATAATAAATACGTAAATTTTATACATAAATAAATTGTATTGCTTAGGATGATGAAAAAAATCTGGATAGTGATGATGGTTTCACAACAATTTGAATGGACTAATGTCACTGAACAGTACACTTAAAAATGGTTAATGTTAGGTATATTCTCCACAGTTAAAAAAATTGTATTTAAAGCACCAATGTGATTTTGACTTTTTATCCTATTCACTATTCTGTAAAACACTTTGCATTTCATATTTCTGCCTAGGCCACTATGAAGCTAAAATTTCTTTGAGCCTCTCAGTTATTCAGCCTATAGTTAAACATAAATAATTGGTGCTGTTAGGGAGATACTTAAGTCTAAACTAAAGTCTATAGAGGGAAATTTCATTTCCAACACTTATCATCAT